TCAAAAGAACTATTCCTCTAGCAGTTTTTTTCTATTGACATTTAAATTTTCATATAAATGCATGCTATAATAGTGGAAGCTATGTCTTCCATGCTGCTATTCTCAGTGAAAACATTCATGCTTTATACGACAAAAGCTAAGATAAACAAGCTACTTGCAGTGTAAAATATTACAGATTCTCAAAAAATGACTGTTATATGAAATCCATAATTATAACAAAATATTGCAGCTCTTCTAATATGTATTATTTAAAAGGCAGTTGTGAAAATCATTTGCATTGCAAAAAGCAAATGTACAAATAACACATTTTTTCATAACACTTTGTGTAAATTTATTAACCACTGAAAACATGCATAAACATTCTCATTAATAGACCATTTTTAAAACTAGCTAAGTGGTTTGAGATGCGTTATGTCAAACTTAAAAAGGCCCCTGTTACCAATTTTCATACTAATCTAATTTGCTTGCATTAGACCCTCTGAAAACTATATTTATCAGAACAGAGTCTTGAGAAGCGATAAACATGCTCTTGTAATATCATGCTTGCTGCTAAGTTGTTCATTAAAACAAGTTTTAATAATAATACCATACCATAGCTATCCAATTTTTTCATAATATCTCTCATATGACTGACATTAAAATGCTGGTTTAGTAGAAAGTCTACTTTATTGCATTAGTGTTAGTACATAACAAACAGTAACATTTCCCAAGATGATTTTACACAATGAACTGATGCATGCTGTTTTGTGATATGACTGTTTCTGTTAACAACATTTTTGGAATGTGAGCATTAGTTTGTTTATTATATTGTTTGTTAGGTGTTTTATTTTCTTTGCAATCTATTGATTAAAATAATGATACACTGGATCAATACACAGTTTAAGTTTCAAAAAGGGAGGAGGAGGAATCGGGCCCCCCAATAAAGGATCATCATATTTGGAGTACAGCCATCTCAATAAGGAAGCAGTTTGTCTGTGGTAATTAGGTTGTTAGCCAATTATAGCAATCCCAGACACACTGCGACAGATTTTCTACTGCAGTACATACTGTAGTTACAAATCAGTCAAAAGAATCTCAGCAAGAGAGAACAGGCTTATAATGCTCATTGCTGAGATGAAAGCTTGCAATATATTTTCAGCTTAGCTACAATGCTCCAAATTATGGGTCACTTTGTTTCCTGAAACTGAATTGGTTCCCCTGTTGTGTACTATTGCACATAATACAAAACAAAATAAGTAGAAAAACAGCACTATCAAAAAACAGCGTATGGTTGTGTTTCTATATATTTTCTTAAATTTGTTTAAAATGGGCCATGATAGACCATGGAAATAAGGTAAGGCAGTATATTAAAGTGCATTTGTCATGCTAGAATAATGTGCACTTTAAGCACTTATAAAATGTGCCTTTATTTATCAATTTCTATGTTGAGATTTTACTTGGAAATCTTTGGACCAGGTGTTTCCAGGAAAGTCTGCTTAGTGAATTTGATATAGAACAGTCTGAATCAAAGCATCAAATCATAGTAATGGTAAAAAGTTACCTAGGGTACAGGTTGCCCTAACTCACAAGGTGTAGGCCAAAATCTAATTCTATGGTGGGCATTTAGTCAATTGTGATCTACTAGCTGACTGTGGTAGGACAACAACTGGTAGATCTCAACAAACATTGAAGAAGGATTTATTTTGTGAGAAAAAAATAATGCATACACTTTTGGGGGATACTCCCACTAGTGTGCATCCAAACAGGGAAGGCCAATTCCCAAGTAAAGCCAGTCTTCAAAATACACAACTTCTAGACACATCCATGGTATAGAGCATCACCATGTGTGATTGTAGGGATGTATCATTGTATGTGAATACGTGAAGTGTTTGTGTTTATTTTTGTGTGTGAATACAGCAGTGCAGTGCCACCCAGGACAGTTTTATCTGCTGACATCCGTTCACACCAAAACACAAAACTTTCCAGACACAATAATCACTAGAATTTATTGTAGTAGTTATGTTGAAAGGAAACTCTGGGTGCTATGCCTTAACTTTTTTGTCATATAGTTTTCAAGCAGTTGGACAAAAATGTAAAGTTGTAAGTCCACAGACCATTAATTCTGCACAGGGTATAAAAGCACAGGTGAAACACCTCATTGGATAAATTAGAATACATTTTACCACTCTTATGGCTACCATTTACTCTGTGTACATGTTTGCACTGCCCTTTGTGCTATAATTCTACTCTTTTTGCTTTTTTAAGTTGCAATCCATTTTGTAAATTTTCAACATTGTTTTCCTTTTCCGACTCACTTCTTCTACCTCATTTCACCCTTTTTGTGTCAGTCTGCATTTTATTTACGCCCTGCTGTGCACCCTGCCACACAGACCCACACTTAAATATAGTTATCACCTCATAAACACACACATTTACAAGTACACCATCAGCATCACTTACAACAGCAAGTACAACTTCAGATACACACACAGAAACCTGATGGAAACAGTCAGCTAGACAGACAGGTAACCATTCCATTTTGTCTGCAGAAAATTAGTATGAAAATATATAGGTGCCCTCTGATCCCAGCTTGCTTCCTGAAGTGCTATATTATAGGCTCTTTTCTGATGCTTCTGCTGAATCTGTCTTTAGCACAGAAGTCTCCAGCCGGTTGAAGGGAGGGGGAGTGAATCACCATGGTATACAGTGCAAATCATCACCATGATTTCCCCCCCCCCCTTCCAAGTGAGGTCTCAAAACTCTGAGAATTTGCTGCATGGGATAGGGAAGATAAATAAATATTGCAAACCTCCTCAGCAGCTACCTGCCAACAGCTCTCTGACATGCCTCCTAGCTCCCTCCCCTCACTGCCTGAACTCACTGCACACAAAAATAATCCATCGAATGTGTGTGGTGGGGAGACTTGCTTGATGCTTCACCCTTGATCCATGCTTGATATGCAGAGAAGTTCAACCAGTGAAAGGAGCTCCACAAAACACTGCAGAACATTGTTCTGTAAATGGCTCCGTACAATGACACACACAGCTAGCCTAATGTAATGTGCAGAGCATTTTACCAAGTGAAAAGAGGTGTGTCTTCCACTGCATTTTTCTGTAAGTCTGTAAGAATGTATAAGAATGTATTATAACCTTCTGTGCTAGTGTTTGTGCTTTGTGTGTTTGTCTGTGTGTGTGTCTGTCTGTGTGTGTATCTTTTGTGTATGTGTTTGCAAGTCTTTGTATATCCAAAGTGGCAACATGCTGCAATTTGAGGGTGGTATGGGATGCATAATGTCATGTGTATATATATAAAAGTGTGTATATATATATATATATATGTGTGTGTGTGTGTGTGTGTGTGTAGCATGTGCGAACCATGGTGTTATGCTACTTTGGTTATTTGGATTGGAACTCAACTGCAGCTTGTAGAACTCCTTAATTACACTAGTGAAGATACGGAGAACCTATAGAGTATCAATACTGTAGCTTTAAGAAAAGAGAGGATTGCTGGTAACTTGATTCAAACGAAGTTTTAATGATAGTTAACTTAAATGAATTGCATTTAGGCAATAGTCCAATAAGCAGAAGTGCAATTAATCAACAAAACAAAGTTCATTAAAGTATTTCCTCAGAGATGCATTAAATAATATTCTTTAAGTTCATAGATATAATCTTCAATAAAACATTAAGCAAGTAGCTGAGAGTATTTGCAAAGCAAGAACGGTTCATAGTGAATAAGCATGATGGGAGTTGTCCTCCATATAATTAGTAGCTTGAAGCAGTGAAGATTTGAGCAAGCAAGCATTAGTTCATTATTAAATGAGATTGCATACAAATAACTGAAAGAAATACTTAAGGTTAATATGAGTAGTCCTCCAGTAGTTCAGAGACATAGTCCACTTGTAAAGTAAATGAGTTTCCGTTCTCCAGTAATCCTCTATGGCATGAAGCATACTTGAATTAGCTCAGAAGGCTAGGACGGCTTCTCAGAGCTTGTGGAGCCGGCGTGTCCCAGGAGCCGGCGTGCATACCCGGAAGTTGGTCCAACATTGACAGAGCCTGTGGAGCCCACAAGTCTGGCGGAAGTAGCTCCCACAATCACCAAGCACCCTCTCTCTGGCACGGTCTCTCTAAATACTGTCAGAGCCGCGTCAGAGGGGGTGGGGTCCGGCTCCGCACAGCGGAGTACCGAACCCAGAAGTGTTACCGCATGAAACATGGTAAGAACATGGTGGTAAGCAAGCAGTTAGAAGAAAGGGAGATAGATGTATATATCTAGTCCTTGAACTCATCCTTCAACCATTTAAGACAAAGTATTATGCAGTCAATTAAATGGCAGTCCTGAAACATCAGCCATCTTGAAATGGTTAAGAGGTAAATAAGAGAGTGTGAGTAGCCAATAACGAGGCAAAGTCAGTATTCTACAGGTATATAATACTTTTCCAGCTTTAATAATGAACAGAAAAGTTGCCAATGGCTCACAAATAATCCAAAAGCCTACAGCATCTGTCCCTCTTCTCCTGCAGTTACAGTTTATTTTTTATTTTTTTTTACTGATATTGTACTGTACCAACAAATTTGTGTGACAGAGCTTCATTCTATTTTTTGCCTATATATTGAAATGTGGTGTTTGAAAAGATAATAATTTGGAATGGGAATATAGCAAATGTTGTATGCGGACTGAAAGGAAAGAGGTTGATAGATGAAAATATCACTAAGTGCAAACTTGGCAACTATCTATTAGTGTAGAAAATATATTTAGACGAGAAACATGCTAAAGTAAATGGCAAAAAATTTATAGTCATACTGACATAAAAAAACACTGTTAATGGACTCACCAGCTTCAGAGAAAGTAAAAGCTAGAGTTTTAGGAAAGATGAACTGTGCTGATAAAATAATAGCATCATCTAGGCACTACATTAATTATAGGACATATTGGGGTATTACCCACAATGATATAAAATTGCAGTGTAATAGAACTTTAATTTTACGCAAGTAAAGTGAACATTGTATAGTATGTATGTAACACTTAGATGAAAGTGAAATCAGACAGCATTGTGGCCAATAGGTAGCTGTCTTGTTGTTGAGTAGCTTATTTTCCCATGATTCATTGTAAACACCTAACCATAATTGTGAAGAACTGAAAACTGACTAAAGGCCAAAATATCCACATTTAATCACTTCCCATATTTAAAGATGGTTATTTTGGCCTATATTTTGCAATTGTTTTTAATTCATCACAGTTAACTTAATGAATCAACCCTGTGTGAGACATTAAAGTTTTAATCCAATCTCTGCTGCTCTCTGACATTCAAGAAATACAACTGATGTAAAAGTCAGAGTAAAAACATGAATGTTTGCAGAAGGTAAGAGTAGCACACTCAGGCACCTCTCCCAGATTGTAAGGTACGGACCAAAGTAGATATATCCCAAACAAACTGAGATATATTAATAAATGCAATTCTGCAGCACAAAATTGATATTTTCCAAATAATTTAGTTTTATCATCTAAAGTGGACCCAACCCACTTTTTAAAAGTATCAAATTTATTGGAAAATATCAAATTGATGCTACATGGTTATTCAAATTTTATATATTTAGAATGTCTGTTGATGGTACAGCAGACTGTGACATCTTTTTCCTGCTTGCATCCTTCCTAAAAGTTTTGTTCTGTACCTTTATTATGTTGTTTTAATCAGACAGATATATAGTAGTGTTGATGTATAAAAGAGGTGCAAAAGTACTCCTTATTTTCCCACCATTTTTCTGAAAAAAGTAAGCAACGTTCAAGGAATAAAATAAAAACCTTCAGATTGTGAAATTGGCATAGTAATATTACTTATTGTGTATATAATCAATGTTAAAATCAAAAAGAGAAATAAAAAGTGGGAGAAAGGCAGATTATTTTGGCACATTACAGAAAAAGTGGAAAAAAGTCCACCAAAATATAAAGGTGGAGTGAACGTTTTATACAAATAAAAATTATGCTTGTGCACGTGTAAATGTGGAAGTAAACGCATCAGTTCTTAGAAATCACCCCTGTAGGTTTTATTTTATGTCTTTATTTTTTAGGTTTTGCCTATTGTGAACTGGATTTTTATGCCATTAGCCAAATCTTCCATAAAAATTAAAAAGAAAATACGCTATGGGTAATTTTCAGTGTTTTATTAATGGTGTAAACTCCAGAGAAGTGGTAGTTACTTTTTAGGTAGACACTTTGTGTTTGTATACACATTGATTACTGCACATGTAGAACCTACCCCTACAAGTCAGGGGCAGATCTAGATATCTGATCTTGGTAGAAGAGCTTACATATTATTTTGAGGATAGGGATTTTTTTTTCTTTATGCCTTGACATCCCAGAATGTCCCTGTTGTTGTTCTATGCAAGATCAATCTCCACTAAGATCGTTAAGAAAAAGCACACAACCTCCACTATTTAATTATGTTTACTATGATTATTAAGAAACAGCACACAGCCTCCACCTATTTAATCATCTCCATAAAGATCTTTAAGAAATAGCATACAGCCCGCCATCTATTTAATCATCTTAGCTAAGATCTTTGAGAAACCACACTGTTTGCGCTTATTTGAATAATACATAAGAAGACTAATTTAATTTCGAAGTATACATGGGAACTTCAAGCAACTATCTCATTATTTGTATCTGTCATACGTACCTCTGTTACAACCCTCTCAGACCTCGCTATCTGTTATTTGTCACTTCTCCATATACAATTAGTCCGGTCTCATGTCCCACTGCATCTAAAATGTACTTATCTAATCTTCTCTTCTCAGCACAATTTTCACTATTATTGTTAAGGAAAATCGAACTCAAAAAAATTTGTAAAACATATATTTTGTTAAGAAGTTAGTTATGGCTTTGCGTAAAGTTTAAAGCTAACATGGTTATTAATTACACTGGAAACGGCTGGAAATGTATTTATTTGTTAAACTATGAGCTGTTATCAAGCTATCAAACAAATTCTAAAATATAGGCTAATATAGATGAGCTGGAAATAATTCATACATAAACACATCAATACAAGAGTAGACTGCATATATAAAAAATTTCTCTGGGGCTATTTATGGACTACAGCCCTTACTCTTTTTTTCTTAAACTCAGTGGGTGACTACTCCTAGCAAGGGTAAAATGGTATTGGATATCCACCATGTGTAAACTGCCATCTTGACTAATGATAAATCTTTTAATGACTTGTGATTTTCTTAGTAACTTCCACACTGATGACACTTGATAACATGTTCTTCTGAGGAAAGTGCAATAACAAGATGGTGGAGACCTCAAGCACCCATTTTTTTTTCAGCATTCACTCTTATTATAACTCTACTTGCACTTACCTCCAAAAATGCATGGACCATATGTGTAATATTGCATATGCTCAACAAGGGCTGAGTAGAGATCTATGCCTAAGATCACAATGAAGAGGCTATGCAACTCTAAATGAATTGAAGAATTGTAGAGCTCTTAAAGGAACTTGGTCCATCTTTACTGCACTCCTAATAACATCTATTGTTACACCAATGTCCGAGACCATCAGAAAGTTATTTTGTTTGGAGAAGGATTCTACTCACAGACTTTTGTAAATACAGGTTCTAATTGGGACAACCCATGATTGCATTGGTTTTAAAGAGATTGCATTGGTTTTAAAGAGAAAAACACCTTATTCAGATTACCATTTTAACCACAATCATTGTACTAGACTTTTTGTTCTAGCAGAGACAGTGAGTTCTAGAACTAATTATGCACTATGACAATATAAAGTCTTTTGTGTTATAGTTTCAATTGGATTATCTTATGTATTATTACCTTTTTAGATGATGATCAGATAACAATTTTGGGTCAAATGTATTAAAAAATGACAATAATTTTTATAGTTTCACAAACATTCACTGCCATCTCATGTCACTTTTACTGATTGTCTATAATTGCATGTGCTGTATTTAGATGAACTAAAATTATAGATTTTTTTGTGACATTATGACCCATGTCACTTAACTTGAAAAATGCGGTTATAAAGCATGTCACAATGACATGCTTAGTTTCACTAATGATGACGTTTAAACATGAATTTTAATCCTTAGACCACAAAGAAACATAGAATGTGACAGCAGATAAGAACCATTCGGCCCATCTAGTCTGCCCAATTTTCTAAATACTTTCATTAGTCCCTGGCCTTATCTTATAGTTAGGAAAGCCTTATGCCTATCCAAAGTATGCTTAAACTCCTTTGTGTTAACCTCTACCACTTCAGCTGGAAGGCTATTCCCTGTATCCACTACCCTCTCAGTAAAGTAATACTTCCTGATATTATTTTTAAACCTTTGCCCCTCTAATTTAAGACTATGTCCTCTGACATATAACTATTTCACTAAACAATTAAGGGTTAATGTGAAAATTACATTAATAAATTGCCTAGTTAAGGCCAAAACAGCTAAGCAGTGACATATTGGCAAATATATTGTATATTGTATTTTTGGCCTTAATTTTGTAATTCATTTTTTGTTGATTTTCATTGAATCACCTATTAGTAAATAAATCACCAATGTTCTAATAAAATAGGCCCTCAGCTCTCTAGCTGAGGGGTGATTTTGGTGTTTATTCATTAAGCAGTAAGTTATGTTATTTTGAAAGCCAACTTGGAAAATGTAGTTAAATATACTTAAGCTGGAAAATATATACACAACAACTGAGATTTTATCCAATATTATTTTGGCATACATTTTATTATTAAATTTTCAATTAACTGTGACTCATTGTTCTTAATGAATAAACCCATTATAATTTAAAGGTACATTTATTTAAATTTGCCTGAATTTAGCCAGCAGTAAAGCTACATTGATATTAACCCCTTCCTAATATTATAACACTTTCTCCATAGCCTCTTGATTTACTAATTGGGCATTCAGTAAAGACAGGTGTGTGGTCACTGGTCCAAAAGAATAACATATAGAAATCAACATATCATATCTATACAGTCACTTTATTAGATACACTTGCTTATTGAATCAAATATTTAATCAGTGAATTCTAAGAATAAAACTTAATAAACCTGCACACATGGTGAAAATAATGTACAGAATGATGAAAATAACAAAACAGAATGAAGAAGATGTGTGATTGATGGGTGCCGTGACTCCAACCAGGATATAAATGGTGATCTGCAAAAAGTGCTGTCTGCATTAGATTAATCACTATTAGAAATTTATGTTGTCCTTGACCTAATCTAGATGTTTAGATCCAATATTTGACAGTTCTTAAAGGGACACTATGGTCACCAAAACAATGTTAGCTTAATGAAGCAGTTTTTGTGTATAGATCATTACAATCTTACTGCTCAATTCTCTGCCATTTAGGAGTTACCCCTTCTATGTGGCACTAGTGTATACATGATTGCCAGGGTCTACACCAATTCCCTGCAATCTAGTATGCACAATTACAATCAATCCAAAATAAATTTGTTCATTGCAAGCCAATTTCATTTACAATGATGTGCTGACAGCGCAATCTTTCAAGCACCGGCTATGCTAAGCTCCCTTGGAGCCCCACCCTCCTTTGTGCATCATGGGCTGGTAGGGAGATCTAGAGATCTCCCTGTACAGCACTGCACTGCTCACTCTACAAACTGTCCTCTGGTTGAAAGCCGCTCTCTGGAAGTGATCCCTCCCTGTCAGGCACGAGTAGGGGGAATTCCGTGGTGTCTGCTCCCAGCCAGAGGGAAGTTTCCACAGGCAACCCACTGGACCTCCAAAGGAACTGCTGGGCCACCAGGAAACTAAGGATCAGAGATCTCCTCCATATAAGAAAGATGAACAAAAGGGGGGCCCAGCTAAAAAAGAAAGCAAAAAAAATGCAAGCAATGTGTGGTGGAGGCTGAATAGCCTGCTTGCATATATTCTACCCTCATCTCCACAAATAGGCACAATGTCATATCGCCAACTCCATCCCACACAAACCCTATCACATCAACCACTCGACCCCACACACCCTATTACATTACAACCCTTCCCTATATACACACTCATCCTGTCACATCACCCTCTCCCCCACACACACTCACCCTGTCACATCATTCCCTCCACAAACACACTCATCCTGTTACATAACATTTCCCCCAACACATACTGTCACATCACCTCTTCTCTACATACACACACTCACCTTGTCACATCATAGCTCTCCCCCAAACACACTAATTCTGTCACATCACCCTCTCCCCCCCACACACTG